TTGCAGGGCTTGGAGGGAGCGGGGAGCTCGTGGGGTGTTGGTGCCAGAGGATGGTGCCGGTGGCAGAACTAAACCACAACAGTTCCAGCCCAGCCCGAGGAAGAACTTCCTTCCCTGGAGGGGCAGAGCCCTGGAAGAGCTGCCCAGGCAGGGGCTGGAGTCTCCCTCTCTGGAGACCTCCCAAACCCCCTGGGCACGTTCCTGTGTCGCTGCTGCAGGTGGCCCTGCCTGGGCAGGGGTGGGTTGGTGGTCTCAGAGGTCCCTCCCAACCCCAAAGTTCTGGGGTGCCCCGGTAGCTGTGGAAACCCAGCCCCCAGCTGCACCCGAGCGTTTGGGGGATCTGGGCAAGGCTGAATCCCAGCCTGGAGGTCCCCATCCCACACAGGGTGGGAAAGGTGCTCCACACTGCCCTGCCACGCCAGGAGCTGCTGCCATGCTCTGGGGCTGCTTGGCTCTGTCACAGCAGTGTCCCCTGGGCCACCAGTGGGACATCAGCCCTTCCCCTCTGCAAGGGTCAGAACAGGAGCAGTGAAAGGGAGCCCAGGGCTGTCCCTGCCTGGGCTGTGACACCTCTGGAGTGACACCGGCCCCTGTCCCACCCAGCACCCTGCCCCTGCCCTGGGGACACTGCAGGGATGTCCTGGGGCACTTTGGCCCTGGAATATCAGCGTGGTGGGGCTGTCAGGAGGTGCCTGGGACCTGTGAACCTCACCCTGCCAGGGGCTCCTAAAACAGAGCCACGTTCTTCTGGGAAGGTTTGGTTTTAGGGAGGTCTTCAGTGGGCTGTGGGTGCTCACCCAGAACACTCATCCCAGTGAAAGGGGAGGGATCCTGCAGCCCCATGCAAGGCTCTGGCAGCTCCCATCCCATCCCATTATCCCATCCCATCCCATCCCATCCCATCCCATCCCATCCCATCCCATCCCATCCCATCCCATCCCATCCCATCCCATCCCATCCCATCCCAACCCAACCCCATCCCATCCCATCCCATCCCATCCCATCCCATCCCATCCCATCCCATCCCATCCCATCCCATCCCATCCCATCCCATCCCATCCCATCCCATCCCATCCCATCCCATCCCATCCCATCCCATCCCATTATCCCATTATCCCATCCCATCCCATCCCATCCCACCCCCAGGACTGCCCAGGCAGGAAGCAGAGCTGCTGCCCTGCAGAGGAGAAATGCCTCAGGCAGGGATTTGCAGCAGATTTTGGTCATCTTGGCTTAAAATTTACCAGGCAGAGAGTGAAGAAATCCCCTCTTGAAGTGAGATATGGACAAACTTCCCTTCCTGCTGGGTTTCCTGGATGCCTTTTGGTCTCTGCCTGCAATGTGCTGATTGAATCCTGAAATGGTTTGGCTTGAAATGACCCCAAATCCCCCCAGTGCCACCCCTGCCATGGCAGGGACACCTTCCGGTACCAGCCCCGGTGCCACCCCCGGTACCCACCCGTTGCCACCCCCGGTATCAGCCCCGTACCAGCCCCGGTACCAGCCCCGATAACAGCCCCGGTGCCAGCCCGGTACCAGCCCCGGTACCAGCCCCGATAACAGCCCCGGTGCCAGCCCGGTACCAGCCCCGGTACCCGCCTGGTGCCAGCCCCGATAACAGCCCGGTACCAGCCCCGGTACCAGCCCCGGTACCAGCCCCGATAACAGCCCGGTACCAGCCCCGGTACCCGCCTGGTGCCAGCCCCGGTACCAGCCCGGTGTCAGCCCCGATAACAGCCCGGTGCCAGCCCCGGTGCCAGCCCCGGTACCAGCCCCGGTACCAGCCCCGATAACAGCCCGGTACCAGCCCCGGTACCCGCCTGGTGCCAGCCCCGGTACCAGCCCGGTGTCAGCCCCGATAACAGCCCGGTGCCAGCCCCGGTGCCAGCCCCGGTACCAGCCCGGTACCAGCCCCGGTACCAGCCCGGTACTCGCCCGGTGCCACCCCCGGTACCACCCCCGGTGCCAGCCCGGTACCAGCCCCGGGTCTGCCCCGCTCCCGGGCAGGATGCGCGGCCCCGGTGTTTGGGGTGGGGGGATGCTGGCCCGGCCGCTTTCGGCCCCGGTGTCCCCCCGCCCGTCGGGGCTCCCCGGTGCCACCTGTTAGCGACAGTGCCAGGCCCCGGCGGGACGAACCGGGCGGGCAGACGAGCGGGATTTACCGGCTCCTGTCCGCCGCCGTTTGCATCTGTCAGGGCGCTAATTATTGCCTTTAATGGAGCCAAAGAGCGGCTCCTAATGATGCTCCCGCTAATTCTCACCTGCTCCTGCCCTTCCTCCGCTCCCTCGCCGCAGCTCCGCTAATTGGGAAAGCTGCTCCGGTCCTTGCGGTGTCCCCGTCGGTGCGGGGTGCCGGGGGTGTGGGGCAGCGCCGGGGCATCCCCCGGGTCCGGCCCCACACGGTTAACCGGGAAACAGAACCGAGCCAGCATCCCCCGGGCCCGGCCCCGCTCGGTTCACCGGGAAACAGAACCGAGCCAGGATCCCCCGGTCCGGCCCCGCTCGGTTCACCGGGAAACCCAACCGAGCCAACATCCCCCGGGTCTGACACCGTTCTGTTCACCGGCAAATCGAACCGAGCCAACATCCCCCGGTCCGGCCCCGCTCGGTTCACCGGGAAACAGAACCGAGCCAGGATCCCCCGGGCCCGCCCCGCTCGGTTCACCGGGAACCGAACCGAGCCAGCATCCCCCGGGTCCGCCCCGCTCGGTTCAGAGGGAAACAGAACCGAGCCAGGATCTCCCGGGTCCGGCCCCGCTCGGTTCACCGGGAAACCCAACCGAGCCAACATCCCCCGGTCCGGCCCCGCTCGGTTCACCGGGAAACAGAACCGAGACAGGATCCCCCCGCTCGGTTCACCGGGAAACAGAACCGAGCCAGGATCCCCCGGGTCCGGCCCCGCTCGGTTCACCGGGAAACCAAACCGAGCCAGGATCCCCCGGTCCGGCCCCGCTCGGTTCACCGGGAAACCCAACCGAGCCAGGATCCCCCGGACCCTCCCCACGGGACCCCCGCCCGTCCCGGAGCCCCCCACCTCCTATTTCCTGCCCCAATCCCTGAGCCCAGAACTGCCAAAATCTCACACCAGCGGCTTCGGGAGGGGAAAAAAAAGAGGGGTTGTCCCCAAATAATTTCCTTTTGCCTGGATTTCTTTTGGGGGCTTTCGTTTTGCGGGTTTTTAGTTGAAGGTCAAACGCGCGGACGCCGTCCCAGGGAGCGAACTCCCCAGCACAAAGATAAATGGTTCCTCTCCCCGAATTAATATTTAATTCATATTTCTCTTTTGCCAAGCGCCGCATTCGACAGACAGAAATTTTCACGTTACCGACGCGGTACCGGTCGGTTTTATTTGCCGCCCTGATTCTAAGTGGAATAAATGAGGAAGGGGAACAAAAAACCCTAAAAAAATCTCCAAACCCAAACCTCAAACGGTTTTGATTCGCCAGTGAAGCGAATTGACAAAAAACTTCGCGAAAGTCAAGGATGCGCCTAAAATATTCCCATCCCTTCCCCATCTGTCTCCGCCTCCCCGGAACAGCGAGGAAGAGGAAAAGGACATTTCTTTTAAATGCTTCTTCTTTTTTTTTAATTTTTTTTTAATTTTTTTTTATTTCTTTAAAATCTCAACAGTGGATTTTTTTTTTTTTGCAACCAAACAAGTAATAAATATTATTTAGCAACTTTTTTCTTTTTTTTCTTTTTTTTCTTTTTTTTTTTTTTTACAAAAATAAACAGATGATAAAATCTCTGCAAGGGGCAGCGATAAGAAAAGTTGTTATTTCAAAAACAAGCCCAAATTCTCAGTATTGCAACACGGACAAGGTGAAAGTTCCTACACAAGAAAGAGCGTTAAAGAGTTCAAACTTTGTTAAAGGTGGCAGGAACGTAAAAAACAAAAATAAAACAAAACAAACAAAAAAAAGAAACAAACGTGTTATACGCTTAAAAGTAAAAGAACCCAAGAAACCCCAAGACCCCAAAGGAAGGAAATCAAGACAAACCGACCCCTTTTTCACTGATGAGGCTGACACAGAACAAGTGCACGGACGGAAAGCTCAGGCAGAGCGGACTCGCCTCGGTATCGCTCTATTTACAGATCCCGCAGCGCGGAGAAACCGGCACAGCCCACGGCGGGCCGGGAGCGGGGAGAGCGGGAGGAGCCCGGTATTACCGGAGCGGGGAGAGCGGGAGGAGCCCGGTATTCCCGGAGAGGGGAGAGAGGGAGCAGCCCGGTATTACCGGGGCAGGGAGAGCGGGAGCAGCCCGGTATTACCGGAGAGGGGAGAGCGGGAGGAGCCCGGTATTACCGGAGAGGGGAGAGCGGGAGGAGCCCGGCATTCCCGGAGCGGGGAGAGCGGGAGCAGCCCGGTATTACCGGAACCTCCCGGAGCCCCCGGGAGCGGGGAGCAGCCCGGTATTACCGGAGCCCCCCGGAGCACCCGGGAGCGGGAGCAGCCTGGTATTACCGGAGCCCCCGGAGCGGGGAGCAGCCCGGCATTCCCGGTTGCACTCCCCCCGGAGCCCCCGGGAGCCCCCGGGAGCGGGAGCAGCCCGGTATTACCGGGGCGGGGAGAGCAGGAGCAGCCCGGCATTCCCGGAGCCCCCCGGAGCCCCCCGGTGCCCCCCGGAGCCCCCCGGGACGGGCTGTCCGGGGCGATGCGAGCCGGGAGCGGCTCGGAAGGTTCTGCGCGTAGAAACGAGTCCGGGAGAGGGGAGGAAGGAAGGAAGGAAGGAAGGAATGAACGAGCCGAAGCCCCTCCGCAGTTTTGGCTCCTCCGTTAGCGGCGAGCCCCGGCACCGCCGCCCTCCCCTCCTCCGGAGTCCTCGGCAGCGTCGGGAATTCAAAGTACCGGAGCTGCGCCGGGCTCTGCTCGTTCCGGGGCGGCTCCCGCGGCCCTCGGGGTGCGGGGCGGACCCCGGGCCGGGCTCCATCCCCTCCCGCCGCCCTCCGGCGGCCCCGGCAGCGGCGCGGGGCGGTCCCGCTGCCGCCGGCGGGAGCGTTTGTAGGTCCTGGCGGGGCCGGGGGCGCGGCGGGGACTCATTTGGTGTCGGTGGCCAGTCTGGGCAGGCTGGCGGTGCCCATGCCGGAGACGTGGTGGTGCGGCGGGGCCGACACCTGGCACATGCTGCAGGGGCACGGCATCCCCCCCCAGTGCTGGAAGCCGCTGCCCAGCGGGGCGGCGGCGGCGGCGGCGGCGGCGGCGGCCGAGGGCGACTTGAGGAGCCCGTGCGGGGGCCGGATGGAGCTGACGGCCGAGAGGCCGGAGCCGGGCAGGGAGGCGCTGGAGACGGCGGCGGGGGGCAGGATGGGGTGGTGCACGGGGTGCGAGGCCGGGTGGGCCGGGTGGCCGGGCAGCGGCGCCGAGTGCGCGCCCATGCCGCCGGGACAGGCGGCGGGGTGGAAACCGGCGTGGTGGCCGCCGTAGATCTCGCTGACCAGGCGCTTCATCTCCTCCAGGGAGTTGGTGAGCATGAGGATGTAGTTGCGCGCCAGGAGGAGCGTGGCGATCTTGGAGAGCTTGCGCACCGACGGGCCGTGCGCGTAGGGCATCACCTCCCGCAGCCCGTCCATGGCGATGTTCAGGTCGTGCATCCGCTTGCGCTCCCGGCTGTTGATCTTCAGCCGCAGCTGCTGCAGCTCCGGCTCCGTCATCTGCTTCTTGTCCTTCTTGGAGGAGGAAGAGGAGGACGAGGAGGAGGACGACGACGAGGACTTGAAGCCCAGCTTGTCCACCACCACCACCCCCGCAGCGCTCATGGCGCTGCGCAGCTCGGCGCTCAGCTCCGGCGGGGAATCGCTCTGCGTGGAGCTGGACACGGTGCCGCCCGTGAAGCCCCCGCCGCCGCCTTTATTCCTGGCCGTGAGGAAGAGGTCATCGGGCTCCGGGGAGGACGGGCGGCTGGAAACCAGGCTGGCGTCCGAGTCCATGGCCCGGCGGGCGGGGCGGCGGCGCGCACCGGGCAGCCTGCGGGGAGGGGAGAGAACCGGCGGGCGGCCCCGCGTCAGCGCCCGCCGCGGCTCGCAGGGGCACCGCGCCCGCCCGCCCGCCCCGTCGGTGAGCCCGCAACGCCGGGCGGGGAGCGGCGGCCCGGCGGGACCGGCCCCGCTGCCCGCGCTCCCCTCGCCGGGGGCGGCTCCCGTCCCGTCCCGTCCCGTCCCGTCCCGTCCCGTCCCGTCCCGTCCCGTCCCGTGCCGTCCCTCCCGTCGCTCCCGTCCGCCGGGCCGGGCTGGGGCTCCGCGGGCGCGGGGGGCACTCACCGTGCGCGGGGCGGCCGTGGCGAGCGGCGCGCCGGGACGGGCGAGCACGGCAGCAGCGCGCACCTTGCGGCGGAGCCGCGGCCGCTTTATAGCCGCGCCGGGGAGGAACGATGTCACCGGCGGGAGGGGGGCTGCGCCAATCCGCGGCGGCGGCGGGGGGACCGCTGATGTCACCGGGGCCGCTCCGGCTCGATGGGGCGGGCGGGCGGGCGGGGGGCGCCGGCCGGAGCGGCGCGGGGAGCCCGGCGGGGGGGAGGGACTTTTGTCGAATCCATAATAAAACGCAACAATGACAGCGCCGGGAACAGCTGTTGGGGGGGCGGGACGGGACGGGGATGGGGACGGGGATGGGACCAAACGGCCCCCGGCACGTCGGTGTTCCCCGGTGCCCGGCCCGTCCGCCCCGCCGCCCGGGAGCGCTCGGCCGCGGCCCCGCCGCACGCAGCGGGCGGCGCTTCCCCGGCCCGGTGCCCCCTCCTGCCCCGAGCCCCGGCGTTATTCCCCCGTCAAGTGGTGCAAAGAGAGGCGGAGAAAAGCGGGATTTCTCCGTTCCCCACGAGAGAATCGCCCCGAGCATCCCCCGGCTCCGATCCCGCAGAGACCTGGAGAAGTTCTTGGAGCGGCCGCTTAAATCGGCCCCAAAAAAGCCTTCAGCGAGAAGGGAGCGGGCGAGGGGAGAGAAAGAACGAAAAAGACGTTAACGAACGAACAAAAAAATGACCTTCGGAAATGCCTCCCGCCTTCCTGCGCCGCTCGCCCGGCTCCCGGCGAGTCCCCGGCAGCTCCGCGAACGGGCTCGGAGCTTCCTCGCACCGGCCTAAATCCCCCGGCCGCCCCCTCCCCGCCGGCCCCCCCGGCCCCTTTGCCTTTGTTGTATTATTTTTACACCCGTGTGTTTCCCAGCTGGCCCGGCAAGCCTCAACCATCCGTTAAATATGTATTTAAAACGTTAAGAAGTGAAGCGTGGCAATGTGTTTCCCAACGGTTGCGGGGATGATCCGTAACAGGTCAATTAGGAAAATCTGTCCCCGCGACAGCCGGGCCCGCCGCCCGCCGTGTGTCCCGCTGCCACCGGGGACGCGCCGGGGCGGGGGGGACACGCCGGGGGTGGGGGTGAGCCCCGGAGGTGAGGGACGGAACGGGGAAATCCTGTCCGTGCGAAGTTTGTTTTATTTTGTGGCGGGGAGCGGCAGCCGGACCGGGCGCTGGGGAAAAGGGGACAACAACGAGCACAACGAATCCAAACCCGGTGCACTCCCGGCCTGCGGAGGGGGAACGGCCCCGGGCGGGCCCGGAGGGGCGGTGGGCCGGGGGGATCGCCCCGGGGCAGCGGCCGGGCGTGGGAAGGAGGAGAAGGCGGCGGCGCTTCTCCTTCCCAGAGGCAAAGCTGGCACCGCTCCTTCTCCACAGGAGCAGCCGGTGAACGGAGCGGGGTGCCCGCAAACGGAGCGGGGTGCCCGCAAACGGAGCGGGGTGCCCCTGAAATGGAGAGGGGTGCCCGGGAAATGGAGAGGGGTGCCCGCAAACGGAGCGGGGTGCCCGTGAACGGAGAGGGGTGCCCGGCGAATGGAGCTCCTCCTGCCGGGATGGACAGCGGGGAAAGCAGGGAACAGCCTCCGGTCATGGCCTGGAGAGAGGGATGGACAGAGGGATGGACAGAGGGATGGACAGCAGGGAAAGTGGGGAACAGCCTCCAGCCATGGCCTGGACAGTGGGGATGGACAGAGGGATGGACAGTGGGATGGACAGAGGGATGGACAGAGGGATGGACAGAGGGGATGGACAGAGGGATGGACAGAGGGATGGACAGAGGGATGGACAGAGGGATGGACAGTGGGATGGACAGAGGGATGGACAGAGGGATGGACAGAGGGATGGACAGGGGGATGGACAGAGGGGATGGACAGTGGGATGGACAGAGGGATGGACAGAGGGATGGACAGAGGGATGGAGAGTGCGTGGGGATGCTGGGGGGCAGCCGGAGCTCGGAGCCATTTCATCCTGAGGCCGTTCTGGCATCACCCTGGGGGCTCGGGAGGGAGAAATGGGCAGTGGACTGGCTCCTTTTCCTTTTCCTTTTCCTTTTCCTTTTCCTTTTCCTTTTCCTTTTCCTTTTCCTTTTCCTTTTCCTTTTCCTTTTCTCGTTTTCCTTTTCCTTTTCCCCTTTTCCTTTTCCCCTTTTCCTTTTCCTTTTCCCCTTTTCCTTTTCCTCTCCCTTTCCTCTTTTCCTTCCTTTTCCTTTCCCTTTTCTCCTTTTCCTTTTCCCTCCCTTTTTTTCTGATTTCCCTTTTTCCTTTTCTTCTCTTTTCCGTTTTTTTCTTGGTTTTTTCTTTTTTTTTTTTTGTCTTTCCTTTCCCCCCTCCAGAGAGGAAGCCCCTCTCGGAGCCGGCAGCAGAAATCTGGGGATGTGAGTCCCTAAGGGAGCAATGTCCTTGGTGACCACTGTCCATCCGTCTGGACACGAGCTCTGCCCCGCCCGCAGCCCGCGGGGCCGGACCGGGATCGGGATCGGGATGGGGATCGGGATCGGGATCGGGACCGGGACCGGGACCGGGATCGGGATAGGGATCGGGATTGGGGCCGGGATCGGGATCAGGACCGGGACCTGGATCGGGATCGGGACCGGGATCGGGATCGGGATCGGGACCGGGACCGGGATCGGGATCGGGATCGGGATCGGGATCGGGATCGGGATCGGGATCGGGATCGGGACCGGGATCGGGATCGGGATCGGGATCGGGACCGGGATCGGGACCGGGATCGGGGCCGGGACCGCCCGGCGCTGCTCTGCCGTCCTGTCAGGGGGTGTGAGGAAGGAGGGGACGATCTCCGCCGTGCGATGACAAATGAAATGTCGCAGCTCCCCCTCCCTGGCCTCGGGCAGCTCCGCACCGCCGCCGCCCCTCGCTGGCGCATCCCGGGAAGCGGCCCCGGAGGGGTCCCAGAGGAGCCCTTCACCCGAACTTGATTTTGACACTAAAATGTGGAGCAGAGCCCATTTGCTGGGCTATGAATATGTATTATTTTTTTTAATAGCGTCTGTAGACAACTAAGGCGTGAATGAAGGCAATCAGGGAACATGATGAAGTGATAACTTAATAAAAACCAGACTATCGCTCTCACGCTGGAAATCACTTGGAATGTCATGGGGTTATTGCTGGAGGGGCTCATTGCCCGTACTCCCCGCAGCCCGAGGGACACCCCCGGCCCCGCCGGGAGGAATCCGGGACATCCGAGGGACCGAGGGACCGAGGGACGGAGGGACCGAGCCCCGGTGCGGCTGCAGCTCCCGCAGCTGACAGCAGTTTGGGCGCTGCCAGGGGAAGCCGGAGCTCTCTGCCTCCCATCTGGGCTCCAGAGGCTCTGGAGCTCCCAGCGCGGACCGGGATCTCCGGGGATCCCCTGGGGACACCGCTGTCCCCCCAAAGCAGCACAAAGCTCGGCACTGCCAGCGGGGACAGCTCGGGGGGCTCTGAGGGTGCGAGGGGACAGTGACGGCAGAAAACCTCCAGCGGTCAGGTTTGGCCCCTTCCCCTCGTTTTCTCTCTTTTTTCTTTGCTTTAATCTCCTTCTGGCTGTGTCTCTATCAGGTACAGATGGGTTTTGCCGTTCGGACTGCCAGGCGGAGCTCAGCCCGAGGTTTCCGTGCAGCTCCACCTGCCCAATTAACACAATTAACACATTTGCTACCTGCGGTCTCCGGGAAGGAAACTGGAGCTCACCGAGCGGGTACAGTGGTGTTCCTCCCTCGGGGCTCTCCTCTTTTCCAGCGCTGCTTTGTTTGCGTTAACACTTGTTCCGTGGAAGTGCTGCAGACACGCGCTGTGCCAAAATCTCAGCATGCCTTCCCATTCAGTGAGAGGCTGGAAACGCTTCTCATCTTCACAGGAGTCACCAGAGGGAAGGCTCAGAAATACCAGAGCTGATGTTTGTGATATCTGCAGGATTAAAAACATGCGGGAAATTGGCCATCTCCTGCTCTCATTCAGCAGGAAAAAACCCTTTTTATTTATAAACTTTGACACTCAAGAGCCCGCTGTCAGCGAGAGCACAGTAATTAAATTGCTGATTAAAAGGCAGGCCGGATTCCGGGGCTTGTGTCTGTCAGGCTCGGGTCCCTCCCTGGAACCGGCCTCGCAGCCCTGGGATGAAGGATTTGGGATTGTTCCCCTGCACAGGAGAAGCTTTGGGCTGAGCTCAGGGTGGCCTTGCAGGGCCTGGAGGAGCCCCAGGAAAGCTGGAGAGAGACAATTTCCAGGGCATGGAGGGACAGCACACAGGGAATGGCTCCCAGTGCCAGAGGGCAGGGCTGGATGGGGAATTGGGAATTGGGAATTGTTCCCTGGCAGGGTGGGCAGGGCTGGGATGGAATTCCCAGAGCAGTGGGAGCCATTCCCTGGCTCCTGTCCCTCCATCCCTGTCCCCAGTCCCTCTGCAGCTCTCCTGGAGCCCCTCCAGGCCCTGGCAGGGCTCTGAGCTCTGCCTGGAGCTTCTCCTCTCCAGGTGAGCACCCCCAGCTCTCCCACCTGGCTCCAGAGCAGAGGGGCTCCAGCTCTTGGGGCACCACAGCATCCCCTGGACCCACCCCAGGTCTTTCTTCCCATGAAATGCAGCACGAGTTTCCAGTTCTCAGGTAAGTGTCCCAACCAACATTTTCAGAACCCTTTGTCACACTTTGCCCCTCGTGTGGCTCTTACACTCCCCTGATTCTCTTTTTCACTTCCATGGTTTGATTTTGGCTGGGAGCTCCTTACAAATGAACCAGCCCTGGCAAAGTTTTAGTGCTGAGGGAGCCCAAACCCGTGGATGTGTTTTGCTTCCCACGCAACACACTGGAAATCAGTTTTCCCTCAGGTTATCCTTTTATCCTGTGCTCATAAGGAAAACTCCTCAAAATTCCCGATGCTACAGGTGAATGCACCTGCCTGACCGAGCCCCGAGGATTTGGTTGCTGTGGCAATGATCCCTCAGCAGAGGTGTTGGTGCCTTCAGAGGGGGTTTGGTGTGGAGGCAACAAGGGCTGGGCTCATGCGGAAACACTCCCCGGCCGAGGGCTTTTCACTACCAGCGTTATGGGAGGTCCTTGGGCTGGAGAAGTTGGAATC